GTGTGATAATCTGTCCACTCACTCCCTAAATGTAAAGATACAGGCGGGTTGGTGGAGCACTGGGCTCTCAAAATGACGTGAATAAGGGGGCTACCCCCGAATAGATGGTCAGAAAAATCCATCATACCATAACAACTTTGTTCGCTGCAATCGATTTCCAAAAAACCAAGTAAAAAAGCAGCCCGGGCCGAACTTTTTATACCCTTCCACCATCTGGAAGAAACTTGAACAATTTAAAAAAACTCCGTCAGAAAATACCGATCAAATCAAACATAGGGGATATACGAAGACGTGGTCCAGCATAATTAATTTGTGTCATAGGCTATAGTAACTGTTCCGAACTTTATATATGAAATTTGAAACAATTCCGGTGAATAATGTTGCAAAAATAAGGAAAATACCTAATATCTGGGGTACAGTTATATGGGAGCTATACTGAAACGTGGAACTATTTAGATAATTCTCTTTTAGGGGGTAAAGTTCTCCGAAGTAAACCCTTAAATGGATTTTATTCCATTGAAAAATGTGGCCAAAATCATTAAAATAACGAATATCGGGAGGTGCCGTTATATGGCACCTAACTCGAACTTGACCTGCCTGCAGACAAAAGACAGATCTGTGTAAAATTTAAGCTCCCTATCTCAATTCGTTTTGACTATAGCGTGATTGCAACATACGGAATCGTTTTAGAAGTTTACGCTGATCGAGAATATATATACTTTGTTGGGTCTGAAATTATTATTTCAATGAGTTACAAACGGAATGACGAACTTAATATACCCTCCATACTATGTATGATGGATGGTATAAAAAGCAAAGGCAAGCAAATCAGAGTAAAAAGGAAAAAACTTAAAGAAGTTAGAACACAATTTACCGTCAAATGAAAACCTCAAATGGATATGAAATTGCTAATTTATATGTTTGTATATCGTACACACACCACAACTTCATCTGCTTACATACATATGTACATTTCCGAAGATATGGTACCTCGTTCTGACGCATACATTTACAATATATCCGCATGCATTTCTGGAGCTTTGTGTCCACATATGTGGCGCATGTCTGTCTTGGCCCCAGTTGCTGGCAGACAATACGCTGGACGATTGCTTCTCTTTTTCTTGTTCGCCAAAGTCAAATCTTAATAGAAGCAAGTTTTAGCAGCAATTTAGATAGGCCGAGGTACGATTGCATTCATAATAATAAAAACAACATTAATTATACATTGTGTGCTTGCTGCAAGTGTCTGAGTGAGTGAGTGTATGCAGCTGATAAAAAACTGGCGATTAATGAAATGGAGCAGCGCGAAAACGGGGGAAACAAAGCAACAGCAACAGGAACACTGCAAATGCAATAATCCATCGAACATTGCAGCATTTTCCGTAGAAGAGAACAGAAGAGTGCGGAACACAAAATGAGATAACATGCAAGTGGGTCATATAACACATCAGGCTGGCATTCTATACCACACATCATTCACCACACACAGATTTCACGGAAAAACCACATCCATATCAGTGGCTGACTACCTACCACTCGCCGTTCCCCCACCCGATGCCAAGTGCATTTGGTAGCTACCGTTAACGATTTAAAGAAATTAATTATTTAAACAAAAGCACTTTTGTTTACAATTAATTCCTCGCAAAAGGTCTCCCGTTGCAATTGTCTGCCAGTCAGGCCATTTAATTTGCCAATGACAGTTTGTCCGTCACTCACATGCAATGCCAGGCAATTCCCAGGAATGTCAACAATAACAGCCCACAGACAATTGCATGACTCAAATTCTGCACTAGGATCTATCGATAAACAATCACCATCCCGTTCCCATTGCAATGCATGATGAGAAATTGAAGCATTGCAAAAATTCGTATTTCATTTTATGCCTAGGAATCATATTCGGCTGCATGATGGCGGCCAAATCAGGTTACAAAAGAAACTCCTCTATTGATCCAATCAGTCAGCCAATGTGGAAGTATTGTAATCAAATTTCTTTACTTCAAGGATTAGACAGGAAGAAAACAATGCCTTGGCAATGGGAAAATGCATAAATTGTGCAACCTGAGTTGCAGCGTAGTGACATGTGCAGCACATCCAGCAATGCAACTTCCTCTTTTCGTCCTTTTGACAATAAGTAATATTGAGAAACAAAAAAAGTAAATTTACTTTCCATTCCCAAGATGGATTAGCCAGATAAGAATAAAACAGCCGGGGCAACCACTCAAATCTAGGCTATTGCCAAAACAACAATTGATCGAAATCTTGCCATGCATTTTCACTATTCGAGCAGTGCATAACTAGCTCTTCCTGCTACTACCTGTTTCCCAAAGGACGATCCAAACACAAAACCAAAAACTATAACTACAAGAGAAATGTTTCAACTTGAGTGCACATTTTGGAATTCTGTTTCTGCAATTTATTTGCGTCTTTCATCTTCCACTGGGGGTATCGGGTATCAGTCGTCTTCGATACTGGAAACAAAACGAATCAACCAGTCAGTCAGCAAAAGCAAGCAAAGACTAGCTCCTCAGGTTCTCATTTCATAACATCACCTGTCGTTAAATGAATGCTTTCTGATAAAATAACATCAGCATGTTATGAAATGTGTCTGGTATTGCGAGCGAGTGCTGAGCACTCCGCACTTGAGGTCGACGTAACGCAATGCAATGTTACACAAAACGAAGTTCGTCTGTTTGTTTTGTTGTGTGTCTTCATACCACACCGTACACAGTGTTTGATATTGGCGGAATTCTTCAACAAATTTGCATGCATATTCTATTCTTGTTCTTCTTTTTTGTTGAAATTAGACTAAAAATATTTATTTCTATAAATAATACAGTTAAGTAAGATTAGAACTATATATGGAGAACATATATCGAAGAATGTTAGGACGTGTTCCCCCATTAACAGTGAAAATATCAAATTATAACCACTTTTGATATGATCTTCTTAAAACTTGGACATGATCTTCAGAGTATAAAATATATGTGGGGTTCTTGCACTCAAAACGTCAAAAGCGGGGAGATGCTATCTTGGGGCTACTCTCAATAATAAAGAGAAATATTAAAACTGTAGTTGATTGGATTGGAAATGGAGACTAAAGCATTCGAAATATCGAAAATCAGGAGATACCGTTTATGGAGGCTATACCTAACTTTGGACCAGTCCTGCTCAAGAACAAGATCCCGCTCACCAATCAATTTTTTTGTTCCAGGAAATCATCAACATTATATCCTATTACTCTACACTCTTAACTGTATCCATCAGCTGTGGAAACTCAACACACTGTGCCCTGTTATTGGTTGGCCAACAAACTATTTTTTGCTGGAAGAGGGGGAGAAGGAGGAGGACAGACAGCGGAGCATGGTCATAAAAACGCATTTATCGATGAAGCATAAAAGTAAACAAACCGTATAGAAATAACGTAAATTGCCAAAGAAAGCGTTTCGGCATGACGATGGAAGAAAAACGCTTAGATTTCAATATTGAGACAATAATAGTAATAATAATAACAAAATAATACACCGAATTGCATTTTTACCCCTCGAATGCAATCGAAGAGATTCTGGCTTCAACTGCATTTCTGTCAGTGTTCTCTTCGCTTCGTTGGGCATGAATAAAATTCCATTGTGAGGGTACCTATATTGAATTTGGGAAATCCAAAACGTTGAATGCAACGATGGCTGGTGGGAGAGTTGAGACTCTATCTCATGGATAGACGTAGACATTGTCTTCAAGATATTTTTCTCAAATTGTTTTGTTCATTGCATTGTTGTTTTTCTTGTTTTGGCCAAACACCCAGCCAGAGTGAGTGAGTTGCAAGCGAAGCAAAAATTCATTATTTTCAACTCAAAGAGCACAAATTGAACAAATTTACACTCAGGTTTGAGTAAAAGAGAAACGCTAGTTCTTAAAGAGAGGATTTAAGAGAATAGTTAACATAAGAAAACTCAAAACAAAACTGGTTTTATTTGTCTCTCCATCTATCTCTGAGCATAGCTCGGCTCTATTTGATCATTAAAATCTCTATATGGAGTAGTTGGCCAAAAAATTATGCTCGCATGGAATCAGAAACATATATAGCAGCGGTGCTCAAAACCGTGTTCTAGAACATGAAGAGAAAAAAGAAATAATTTAAGAGAAAATTAAAATTCTGTTTTTCTTTATATTTTACGGTTCTATTTAATTGTTTTTAAACACGAATATTTGCCAAAATAATTTATAAAGCAAATGGATAAAAAATATTTGTATAAATAATGACTTAACACTGTTTTGTTCTTGATTTAAATAAGCAAAGAGAAATTTGTCTGGAAAGAGATATTTCTTCTTGAGCACCGCTGATATATAGCATTAAGTTTTTCATGAGATCATACCAAAATATACACAGAACGAGTGTGTGAATATTTTTTTTTTGACAAAATGGAATTAAAATGAATAAAAAATCAAATAAAAATACCTCACTTCAATTCCAAAGATATTCTGGTCTCATAATTCTCCCACGATGTTTTCCATATTACCTTCGAAATTCTCTCAACTTCACATCTTCAATTTATTCTCCCAAAATTTATGTTATGTCAACACTCTCAGACAACGTCATAATGACACTCAAACTCACCAAACCGGTCTTGTTAGTGTCAATGGCTCGATGCACCAAAGGTTTCTTAGTTTTCTTATGCTTGCAATTGAATGTTGCCCAACCGATAAGCACACACACACGGCCAAAAATACACTTTTACCTTGCCTTTCTCTCCTACCACCAACCAACTCGCATACCCATGTACATTATATTCCTTGTATACGCCGCTCACACATCTGGCTGGCCAAACAAAAAACCCATCAAGTTCACTGAGTGCCCACAGAGAAACCACTCAATTCTCGTGTGTGACTGCATGCCATGGCGATGGTGGTGAGTGCTCTCTGCCGCTCACGATCTCCATGCAACACACAATGTGTGCCGAATTCATCGCACAATTCCTTAGAGGCCTGATGTGTTCAATTTGAGAAATCAGTTACTGAGAAGATTCCGAGTAGATCACACGTTCGTAAAGTTGTAACGGAAAACATTTTAAATTTTTTCTTTACCAAAAAAAAAAAAAAACATATTTTTTGTCTAATCGAAAAGAAAACAAAAAAAAAACGTTAAACACACAAAAATTACAAACAAGATCTACTCCAGTTACAAAGAAAGTAAAAAGTGTATTAAGCAAATATTTACAAAAGCAAAAGAAAAAAAAACAAACAACGACAGATTATTACCACAAAAATAAAAAAACGTTACGTTCGTTGCCTCACACATTTTGGATTACGGTTACGGGCTTCGTTCGCTCATCTTCAGCCAGAAAACAAAAAGAAAAATAATAAAGTCAAATAAAATCGCTATGGACGTTCACATTGCTATGTGAGGTTGAAAACAAAAAAGTAAATGAAGAATACGATAAAAGCAGTGCTTGAAGAATAAGTGAAGCAAAGAAAAATCTGTGAAATTTGATAATCAGTTTTCTCGAACAAATGGAAACACAAAAATGAAGAATTCCAAAGAACTAAAATCGTAATCAAAGTTAAGTGCAACCAACAAAAAATCGCCACTCATCTCATCGCAAACGTTGCTACACCGACACATCACGCCAGCATCATTCATCGCCACAACAGATACCCCCCACCAAATTGCGTTAAGATGGCTCTTATATCGAAAACCATCTTATCGGTGCTCATCTCATTCATCATTCCGGTACTCGGTGCTGCATTGAGCAAGACGGTCTTGTACCAGGCGCCCGACGAGTGTCGTTGGTCCGGGGCCAACGAAATCGACATTACCTTGGTGTGCCACTTGCGCACCATCAACTCGGAATTGGAAAACACAAACTTCAGTGTCATACAACCACAGAATACGATTCGGTTGCGACTCGAGTGCAACGATGCTCTGTTCTTCCAGAGCACCCTGAGTCCGGATAGTTTCCGATCGCTCGTGGAGTTGCGTGCTCTTACGATTGAGTACTGCAAACTCGGAAATCTAACCGACGGTTCGTTTCGGGGTCTGCAGGACTTGCGCAATCTGACCATTCGCACCCACAACGGCGATTGGTCGACAATGTCTCTGGACATATCGCCCACCAGCTTCAGTGAATTCCGCCAATTAGATCGTCTTGACCTGAGTCTCAACAATATTTGGCTGATTCCCGATGGCATGATCTGCCCCCTGAAAGTACTGAAGCACCTGAACATCTCCCACAACGAAATCCAAGATATAAGCAATTTTCACTTCAGTGCCTCGCTCAGCACACGCAAATCTCGCATTTGCGGTTCGTCCCTGAACAGCATCGATTTGAGTCACAATAAAATCGCAAATCTTCCATCGGCCATATTCTCCGGGTTGGGTCGTCTCGTCAACCTGAATTTGGCTCGCAATGGTATGAACTTTATTGCCGACCGTGCCTTCGAAGGACTTGTATCGCTGCAAGTCGTTGACTTGTCAGAGAATCGTCTGACTTCTCTGCCGCCAGAACTTTTCTCGGAGGCCGAGTTTGTCAAGGAGATCTACTTGAAGAATAACAGCATCAATGTCCTGGCCCCAGGATTGTTCAGTGAATTGTCTGACTTGCTCGTCTTGGACATGTCTGCCAACGAACTCAACTCTCAATGGGTGAACTCGGCCACCTTTGTCGGTCTCAAACGTCTTGTGTTGCTCGATCTGTCCGCCAATAAGATCAGCAAATTGGAGGCCAATCTCTTCCGCTCGCTGACAAGCCTACAAGTACTTAAGCTGGAGGAGAACTACATCGATCACATTCCCGATGGTGCTTTCACTGATTTGACCAACTTGCACACATTGATTTTGTCGAACAACCGCATTTCCACCATTGGGCCAAATACGTTCCGCGGCTTATATGGCATTCTGGTGCTCAGCTTGGATTACAATCGCATCTCGAAAATAGACACGCAAGCCTTGAAGAACTGCTCCAGCATACAGGACCTACATTTGAATGGCAACAAGCTGCAGACCATACCAGATGCTCTCTCCTATGTGCCATTGCTGAAAACACTCGATTTGGGTGAAAACTTGATCACGAGCATCGAAAACACCTCCATTACTGCCATGGAAAACCTGTACGGCCTGCGTCTCACCGAGAACGCCATCGACTACATCCGCCGTGGTGTGTTCGATCGCATGACTTCATTGCAAATATTAAATTTGTCTGGCAACAAAATCAAAGGCATCGAAGCCGGTGCCTTGCACCGCAACACTCAGCTGCAGGCCATTCGCTTGGATAGCAATCATTTGAAAAACATTGCGGGACTTTTCACCGACTTGCCAAATTTGGTTTGGCTTAACATTTCGGACAATCGCCTGGAGAAATTTGACTATTCGCACATTCCCACTGGTTTGCAGTGGCTGGATGTTCGCGCCAACCGCATTGCCCAATTGGGTAACTATTTTGAAATTGAGAACGAATTGAGTCTGACGACGTTCGATGCCAGCTCCAACTTGCTTAGCGAAATCACAGCCGGCTCCATACCGAACAGCATTGAGGTGTTGTATTTGAACGACAATCTCATTGGAAAAATCCAGCCATACACTTTCTTCAAGAAGCCAAACCTCACCAGGGTGGATCTGATTCGCAACAAACTGACAACCCTTGAGCCCAATGCCCTGCGCCTTTCTCCCATCCCCGAGGATCGCGACATCCCTGAGTTTTTCATCGGCCACAATCCCTTCCAGTGCGATTGCAATCTCGACTGGCTGCAAAAGGTGAACACGGAGACGCGCACGCAGCCCAAACTCATGGACTTAGATCAGATCTACTGCAAATTGTCCTACGCACGCGGCAAGACCCATGTTCCCCTCATTGAGGCCAAAACCAGCGACTTCTTGTGCAAATACGAAACCCACTGCTTCGCCCTGTGTCACTGCTGTGACTTCTATGCCTGCGATTGTAAAATGGAGTGCCCCGACCGTTGTTCCTGCTACCACGACCAGTCATGGACCTCAAACGTGGTTGACTGTTCGCGTTCCGGCTACGATCGTGAACTGCCATCACACATACCCATGGACTCCACACAGCTGTATTTGGATGGCAACAACTTCAAAGAATTGTCAAGTCATGCTTTCATTGGTCGCAAGCGCTTGAAGGTTTTGCATTTGAATCACTCGCGCATTGAGTTCGTCCACAACCGCACATTCTACGGCCTGTTGGAGCTGGAAGTGCTGCAGCTGAACCATAACAATTTGCGCCACCTGAATGGAAACGAATTCCAAGGTCTTGACAACTTGCAAGAACTTTATCTACAACACAACTCGATTGCCAGCATCGATTCGCTGACATTTACGCATCTCTACCATTTGAAAATCTTGCGTCTAGATCACAATCTGATCACTGAGTTTGCTGTGTGGAACTTCTTGCCTCCGTACCTCAATGAGCTGCGCCTAACTGGTAATCCCTGGTCATGCAATTGTGGCTTCGTGGACAAGTTCCGTGACTACATCAACCGCCACGAAGCTGTTCTAGAGAAGCCAAAGTTGCGCTGCTCCGCCTTAGCTGGCTCCAACGGCACCGTGGGTATCAACACAACAGCGCTCACGCAACAACCAATCGAACAGTTTGCCCTTTACCTCAGCCCGGAAGTTCTGAAAGATACCACCATTCGCTATTTGGTTTGCGGCGGTGTCCAGCAGCAGCAGTTGCTGGGAGTCAATGGCGCCGCCGACATCAATGATAACATCATCAACGGCAACATGACCTCCACCAAAATGATTCTGTCACAGCCACCCATGCATGACTACGTGCCGATTCTTGTGGCCATACTGACCGGATTTGTGTTTGTGATCATCTGCACCATGTTGGTGTTCATCTTCAGACAGGAAATGCGAGTTTGGTGTCATTCGCGCTTTGGTGTTCGCCTCTTCTACAACGGCAACAAAGATATGGACAAGAATGAACGGGAAAAGCTCTTCGATGCCTTCATTTCGTACAGCTCCAAGGACGAAGCTTTTGTGACGGAGGAGTTGGCTCCACTGCTGGAACAGGGTGAGACCCGCTACAAGCTGTGCCTGCAAAGTCGTGATTTCCCCGTTGGTGGTTACATGTCGGATGCAATTGTTCAGGCTATCGATACATCGCGAAGAACGATCATGATTTTGTCGGAGAATTTCATCAAATCGGAATGGTGCCGCTTTGAGTTCAAGTCTGCCCATCAGTCGGTGCTGCGCGACAGAAGAAGACGTTTGATTGTCATTGTCCTAGGAGAGGTTCCCCAAAAAGACCTCGATCCCGATCTACGCTTGTATCTGAAGACAAACACCTTCCTGCAATGGGGCGACAAGCTGTTCTGGGAAAAATTGAGATTCGCCCTGCCCGATGTACCCAATAATCAGCGGCGGCCTCATGGTGTTGGCGGCCACTGCACAGGTGTCGGTGTCCATATGCCCATGGCCCCACATCATCATCATATGCAAACTCATCACCTGCATCACATGCATCCCCAAGCCCAACTGCAGCAACACCACCTGCAACATGCCAGTTTCCGTTCGCAGATGCACCACAACATCAATGGCAGCAGGCAGAATCACAATCGAAACACCCCCCAACCACCACAACAATCGACAGTCTTGATGGGTCCTCCTTGCCAGAATATGCCGCCACAGCAGCAACAGCCGTTACCTCTGCCACCCAGCGCCGGTGGTCAAAGCAGTATCCAACATCAGAGTCTACCACTACCGCCCTGTCCCAGTCCACGTAGTGCCACAACGCAGTCTTCAATAGGAGGTGCCTCCACGAATTCCGGAAGATCTGTAGCGGTGCATATTTAACTTAAGGGTACTACTACATCGAATAGGTACGAGTGTAAGTGTGATGGGCCAGAGCAGATAGAAAATAGATGAAGAATAAGAAGAAGCAAAAGAATGATCGACCATTTTGCCAAATTTCCAAACGAAGTTGGGGTTTTGTTAGCTATGCCGTGACATTGATCTTTTCCAGTCATCACTGCCACCGCTATTCATTTCCCCATTCTCCCAGCCGTTAGTAAGTTCGTTCGGTCGGGCCCTACATTCTGTTCGTCCGCCCCAGTCAATCATTTTAAATGACCATTTTGAATTTGTATCTCTGCCTCGTTAAAACAAGAGGTTTTTATTTCACGTTTTTTTATGATTTTCCTCTTGAGGTGAGTTATTCGAGTTTGCTACGAAGAAAACGAACGAAAGAAAACACGTTAATGGGGAACGGAAAACCTATTACAATAACAGGCTGATAAACTTGAGACCACGAGTGACGGTCGGTCGGTCGGGGAGAGACTGACTGACAGGAAGAGAAAGACAAACGTGCATCAAGGTACAAACAAGCTACAAAATTATGGAGGTAATGAAGGAGATGGCCAAATAATATGCCAAGCCAGGATGGGCGGAAGAGGAGGGGAGGATGACAGCGAAAACGACAACCATAAAGAACCTTTTGGCACAATGGTAATGCCAACAACAAGCGTAGCAAACGAGCCAAGATGCAAATGAGCTGCTGCTCCTGCCGCTGCTGCTGCTGCTGATATTGCCAAAGACGGTGCAGTCCGTTGCCTTTTTGCCACAATTGACACGGCATGCATTTTGCATTTTGGTGTGCTTGTTGCGCTTTGCGGTGAAATTATTGAGCTCGAAACGCGTTTGTTTGTTGCCTCTTTAACGGCGACGGTGACGTTTACTTGAGTTTTCGTCTTCGCCTTGGTCGTTGTTTTCGTTGTTTCCTTTTCCACCTTGTAATGATTCAGAAAATTGATGTTGCATGCTACGATGGCAGGCAACTGCAACAACAACAAAATGTTCGGCTCACAATGTAGTCTGAGTGAGTAGGTGACGGACGGGTGGGGAGAAGTAGAGTGGGGCCGTGAGGACGGGTTAAGCAAAACAAAAACCGGCAAACAATCCTCAGACATGTTTTGCACATCACACTCCACTACCAAACACACATCACTCGGTCAGACCAACCAACCAACCTACCAACAGACTGAACGACCGACCGAACAACTGATCAACTCAAGCAGGCAACATAACATGCAAACTATCGAACGCCAGACAGAGTCTGCAACTCCAGCAAAAACCTGACGTTTTTCGTCTTGGCGGTCACTAAACGACAGTCGACGGACATTGTTGAATTTGTGCTCCCCATAGGAAACGGGCGGCCGGGCGGGCAGTAGGGTTTGTCTGCAACGACGACGACGACGGAAAACAAATGGAAATGAAAGAGAAAAAATGAGGACAGCAATGCAGCATTTCGGTTTTTACGGCATCGTACAACCAAAACTATTCGAATGTGGCAGCAACAACAGCAACCAAAATAGATTTCCTTGCCTTTCTTTCTGTCTGTCGTTGAGGCTGAATTCTCTACGCCAACAAAAACAAATTGCTACATGTGTTGCACAGCCCAACCGGGTGTATTGCACTTCTAGACGCCGGGAGAAAGGCCAACGACAGAAATTGCAAATGCTTTCTAAACGTTTTCCTTTTTTTCTCCTTCATTTCGTTGGGCCAAACATGAAATGGGTGATTTGTTTTTTTGAGTTCTTTTTCGTTTCGTTTTTTGGCAGAGTGAGTGGTCATCTTTTTTACTTCGACTTTGAAACAAATCGAATTGAAGACATTCCAAGAATCTTAAAAGGGGTCATTGTAAATAGGTAGGAGACACACACACACACTCTCACACAACCATACATAGCCAGTCAGATTGCCAACCAGCCAGCTAACAAGTGAGCAAGACTAACTAATTAAGATGTTGAACAAATTATTGTTGTTTTTCAAAATCAATGAAAAAATGTGATATAAATGTTAAATTTAAGTTAGAGCCCTAAACTAAATCTAGAGAATTAAGTCCATACCACATAACGTTAATTGTATTTTCCTAATCACTGCTGTATATTGTAAATGGAGACACCACCACTACTACTAACACTTAGCCAGCTAGATTAAGTGCAGCCTATCAGCCAGTCAGTAGAGAATTTGCGAATATTTGTAAATAGAATCGAAAGGTACTTAAATCTGCTCCATACAACAGCACCTCCGATTGAAACTGAACAAACAGCCAGCCATATATATTTTTTATTTAATTTATGATTCTCGAATCGAATACCACTGAAATAACGACTCGAATGCGATTTTGTGCATCCCATTCTCTCTCTCTTTCTCTCAAAACCGAGTATTTTATTCAAATGTATTTTATGTGTTATAAATAGTGACTGATTATATGTATAAGCTAGTTTTGTAAATATTTGTATATTTCGAGCCAACAACTATCCCACCCTCCCCGTTCTCTGTCAATCCCCTGAAAATAGCTTGTAAAATATTGTATTAATTTATTGTGTGTATTATTTGTTTTATTTGTACTTTTTCCTAAGCGAGTCTAGCAATTAAGTAGAATTAATTAATTTTTTTTATACTCAGTAAGTTTTAAAAGAACCATAGTCGTATGCGATGTGAAGAAGCGAACGAATATCTTATTGAAAACAAACAACAAAAGACAATAAAATAAAAAAATATAAAAACAAATATTTAAAAATATTAAAACAAAACACTTGCATTTTCCATTTTCATTTTCCACTGTTGCAAGGGACTCTGGGGGTCCTGGAGGGACAGGCTGGCATTGTTGTCAACCGGTGATTAATGTCCGGCTGGAATTTTCCCATCTCTGGCCATGACTAATTTGGGTTGGGTTGCACCTATTTTACCTCATCTGGTCTATTCTAGGAAAACAAGATCGACGCCCATCTTCTGTTAACCAAGATAGATGATTAAGCAGACAACCGACCTTGTCTAATTTCGTTGTAGTACAGGTTGTCCAATTCACACTAGACACCTGTACTTGGTCTCCACGACAGTCAGGTAGCCGGTTAAACAAACAAAAAGGAAAAGATGATGATGATGACGATGATGGGTATGTATTTGTAACAACTGCAAATGCCATAAATTTCATCTGTCTCTGACAGTTTTCTCTGTAACAAGATTACGATCAAGGTTAATTTCTTTTTATCGATACTGACTTTCTGCCAGCCAGCCAGCTAGCTGTGCAAGAAATAATGAGCGGTTTGTCTTTTGTAATTGATAACAAACGTACATCTAAGTTTGACAACTTTCCTTTAATCCATGGCCTACAAATCATTTCGATACTTTTTTTTCCAAGCGATTGTTTGTGACAGGTACCAACTAGTATTCTGTGTGCCATTCTGTCATAGTTGCTATGGCAAAAAATACAAAAATGTTGGATTCTTATCTGAGAGAGCAATTTTGTAGTTGGTAATTTGTGTAATTTTTTTTGAGGATGGAAGGTAAAGATAAGATTTTCAATTGGATTAAATAATTTGTTTTATTAAAAAATTAATGATTGATTATATTGGGCGCCACAATCTGTAAGATTGGAGTATGATTAGGGTAAACAAGTTCAATTCAACAGGATCACACAGGAGGCGATTTCAGAACTTATTCTTCTCTTGCTGTTAAAACATATAACACTTCAATAGTTTTTTGTAAAAGTGGAAAAAGGTATTATATACAGGGTGAGATAAAAAAAACTGCAATTAACTTCAGACTGCTGTCATTTCTAAGCCACTCGTTCGACAGCTGTTAAAATTATTCCAGTGACAGCTCATCATATTGTTTACAAGCGTACGAAAGCATTTTGGTGAGTATTGTCCACAAAAAAGTTATTCGTGATGGAATTCAAGCGTGATAGTGTGATTTCACGCAAGCACAAGAGCATTCCAGCATTTAAATGTGAATAAATCGTATATCCCGACATCAAGGAAGTGGACGGAAGAAAACAGCAACATCAGCAGAAATGGTTCAAAAAGTAAAGAAGCGACTTGGTCGAAATCCGCGTCGCAGTGGCCGAAATATGACTAGTGAGCTGAAAATATCGCAATATTCCATTCGCCAAATATTGAAAAATGAGCTCGGGGTAAAGCCATTGAAATTCCAAAAAGTGCAAGAACTGACACCGCAACGAAAAGAAAATGGACTCAAAAGAGCTAAAGAGTTGCTTTTACGCTCTAATTAATCGACCCTGGCATAAGAATAAATGCCGAATATTATCGCGAAAATATTCTGGAGGGTGTATTAAAGATTTGGGCACGCAAACATTTTGGCCGCATACCTTAGACATTCCAACAGGACTCAGCACTGGGTGCTGAGTGCGATCAGCACACGCCACCCAAGAATGATTACAAAATGAGGTTGCTCACTTCATTTCCAGCGCAAAATGGCCACTAAAATCTCCGGATACATATCCGTTGGAGTATTTTGGTTATAGTAATTTTGGTATTTTTGGTCTGGAGCATTTTGGAAAGCAAGGTTGGCACTAAAAAATACCGATCCATCATCTCAAACATGCGCTTTGCCGGGAATCGGTCAAAATACCGCAGAATAACTTTCAGGCAGCGTGTGATGGTTTCATTGACCATTTGAAGGTCATAATTCGTGCCAAAGGTGACCTAATCGAACAAATCTAAACTAATTGTAAAATTTGATGCTGTTTCCGATATTGTCTGCATCCATTCAATAAAATGAAAAAAAAAAATATTAAAATTATGGCGTTTGACTTTGTTTCAGTTTTTTTTCTTACCCTGTATACTCTTGCATTTCTTCGTATATGCCGAAATCAAGGATACGTTTTGGAGTTTTGCCAATTTTGAGGGAATTATGTCACTATTGGTATTTAGAGTTCGTAATAGCCAATGCCTTCTCCGGCAGATAATCGGTTATACAAGTCCACGTTTTCGACCAGACCCAATATAGATATTCGGTATTTTAATAATTTTAGCGGCATATTTTCAAAGGATGTTTTGAAATTTAAAAATTTCTCACAAATGGTGGAGAGTATTAAAAGCCGATCCGGCAAAACTTACTTGCCAAAAATAAGAAAATAATCAAAAATAAAATTTTGGCTTAAAATGTGTTGCAAATGCCACAAAAATAAAAAAATATTACCAAAATAGATTTATTTTTAGAATTCAAGCACCTTGCCAATAAACAAAAAGAAAAACAAAAAATTAATTGGAACCCATTTTTAGAAATAGGTTAATTAACCCTAATGAAATTAAGTATATCTCCGAGTTGTCTCCTCCACAATTAAGCGTATTCTCTTCTCTGTTTTCTTTGGCCAAGTCTATCGATGGCTTTAATGTCTATCATCTTCCAAACTTACTAATTTCTTTGAAATTAAGTTGAAATTTTTAATGGAATGTGATTCTAAATGACCAGTAGATGACAGTGATGTGTACTACTGTATAATCGAAATATTCCCCAGGCCAATCAACCAGAATAACAACAACACCAACAACAACGAAAGATAATCAAATTAATATGATTAGATGATAAGCGAATTACGGTCAAAAGCAGAAAAGATCGACAAAAGCCAAAGAGATGGATGGATGGATAGATAGATAGCCGGCCAGAAGAGTTGGAGATCTGCCTCAAGAAGACGTAGAAGACAGTCAAACAGACATAACAAATGACAGTACATCAGACATTAATTAGAAATTAATGTGATATAATTAAAAATCCAAAACAAAAGTTTGGCTTCTCGAAAACGAATACCGAAAATTACGCTCATCCAAAGCAATTTCGAATGTTAATCAGCTACTGCTGTTGCTGGTCCATCAGGGCAGCCTACGAAAGACTACCATTTCAAATTCGGCATTTTTTGCTCCTCACACACAAAGACACCGGCTGCTACAGATAGATACAGCTATTGATACAGAAACCCCAATGGATGCCAATGAGCCCGTCGGTCGGTCGGTCGGTCGGTATCTATGCTGAGGATGACGATGTGGATATGGAGGTGAGTGAATTCGTTTGTTGGCAGGCTATGCGGTTTGTTAGAGTTAGATTTTTATCCCAAACTAACAACAATGATGATTATTATTAACATCGATGTCATTTATCTGCTGCCGCCGCCGCTGCCATTGTGGATACCTTTGTTGTTTGTCCAGGTTGTTCGTGTCATGAAAATCTGTAATTTTTTCTTGGCCTTGTTCGCTTCTGTTGTAAATGAGTTTTCCCTCTGCGGTGTTGGTGGTCGTTATGTTTGCGGAGTCATTGAATGTTTGTTCAGCTACTAATTTTCGAGACCATGTCAAGGAGCTGTTCAACAGACATTAAATAGATTTCATACATAACCTTGACATTAGAGCAGCACCAGTAGCCTGTGTCGCCTTGAACCCATGGCTTAGCCAAAGCAGTAGCCGACAGAGCCCTCTTCTGTGCCTTTGTAAACAACACTTGGACGCGACGGTCCAGGATGGGAACATATTTCGGATGCCATAACTACTATTGATACTCTTAAGAATTAATGCAAAGATATTTGACATGGCATTTTTTCTTTTAAACAAACACTACTGTCTTGCTCCTTGGGCAAAGGTATTGAGCTATGGTCTGTGTGCGGCTGTTTGTCTCCTTGCACCAAAGATGTGTTGAGTAGTCCTCAGCTGTTTGGATTAAAGACGGCACTAGACCACTGAAATTCATTTGAAAAAAATACCAAAAAAAAACATATTGTTCATCTTTGCACTTGAACATTTGAATAAACGCAATTGTTAATTACATTTATTGAAATTAAATGAATTTTTATCAAAAATTTTCTCAAGCTGTTGAAATCATTAATCAAAATTTAATTTTTTTATTGTTGAGCATCACAATAATAACAGCAACGCCATGGGTGAAGATGAAAAGCGAGAATTCAAAATAATGCCAACATGGAAATTAAACTAATCATTCCCATGACTAAAGACCACCACCACCGCCGCCATATTCGATGATGGCATTTCATTGAATTTTTTCGGGCAGCACCCCAAAACGCTCGACCAAGGCAAGAAATTATTTGATTTTATAAATATTTGATATGGTTCACAATGAATGGAGCGATATGAGCACTGGCGGGTTCCAAGAAACCCATTGAATATTTCATCGTTCGGCTGACACACACACAGAGACTACCAGAACAAACAATCGCTTCATTGGATGTGAGTAATAACAGAATTATTTGATACTTAATAAATACTTAGACAAGCGAAATGAGTTTGTCCAACAAACAATGAATGGGCGAATTGATTGGAAACTCCTTTTGGACACAAGATGGACGTAGTTAGTCATTGGATGTGCTACGCACACCCACAGTTCGCAAACACTGCACACACATACACACACCCTGACGTCCGAGTACTTAGGAGACCGGAAGCTATACTACCAGACACACTCACACGTCCATTGACATACTCACATGACGTCGAGGATGAGGACTTGGACAACGACGACGACGACAACATCGATGATGATAATGACAACATGGGGCTCAACAAACACTCATCAGCAGTTTGTGTGCAAACAAGCGGTAGCCAGGGTAAGCTATAGGCTTTCCGCTTCCCAAAGCCACTTCAAAAGGTAACAGAAAGGGATATATTCAAGTACATTGAAACCACTTGACACTCCAATATAATCGGGACAAAGGATCTCCCTTAAGTCGGTCTTTAGCCAGGCACCGACATATGGTAGCAGATCCGGAAAATAAATCAAATAAATG